GCTTGCTAACTTTCAAAGTCAAGTCTGAAGATGCAAAAGTACAAACTTTTGATTCGAAACATATGCTTTAAACTTGCTCCAACTGCGAGCCACCCCATCAGCAAAATGTGAATGGGTCAGGTAGACAGCATAAGACGGTATAGTGCCCCCAATGCATTCGGTGAGAAGCCAGCTGAGCTGCCTAAATCGATAACTAAGAAGTAACATATAATACTGCTGCTGGCAACAGTTTAAACAGATAGCTGTTATAGTTGTTCAACCATCAAAACTCATTTGGAGACCTTGCTTCTGTGATTCGGATATGTGCCCACAATGAAAGCACTATCAGCATTCAATTTTGTACTTCGCAAAATAATTTTAATTTTACTCTGAGCTGCCGAGGACCCCCACTTTGAAAATCCCTAGGTTGGAGAATAGGTACCCATACTGTTTACCTCCTTGAAAATAAATCTAAAAAAAATCTAGCTCTCAGAAAATCAAATACAGGTAGGTATTCTCCAACTTACAACAGTGAGCATTCAAAGTTACAACGGTACTGAAAAAAGTGGTTTATGACCATTTTTCACACTCACGACCATTGCAGTATCCCCGCGGTCATGTGATCAAAATTCAGACACTTGGCAATTGACTCATAGTTATGACGGTTGGTTTCCTGGGGTCAGGCGATCTCTTTTTGCGACCTTCTGATAAGCAAAGTGAATGGGGAAGCCAGATTCACTTAACAACTGTGTTGTTAACACCTGCAGTGATTCACTTAACAACCATGACAAGAAAAGTCATGAAATGGAACAAAGCTCACTCAACAAATGTCTCACTTAGCAACTGAAATTTTGGACTCAGTTGTGGTCATAAGTCAAAGGCTACCTGTATTCATTCCCATCAACTGGAGCCATTGCTAAGAGGAAAAAGTACTTGAAATATTCCTTTGAAGAATAATGAAACTTAAAACGACACCACAAGTCTGTAAATTGTATTCTTTATTGTGAACTGAACCCTAGACCTTCATTTAAATCAAGATACCATAATGCTTCAGGACATCTGTGTATGGAGCAATCTTGCTCTCCACATTTTTTTCTGCTAGCTTTCGGAGTTTCTAAAAAGGAGAAAGAAAAAGAAGAGGAACTCAGTACAACAAGAAGATACTAACAGGCAGGTAAGCGTTAAATAGAAATCCAACGTTGGGAAATTACACAATTTGCTTAGACAAACTATCAGGGAATCAGTCACAGAATCATTATTCAGATTCACCTTATAATTTCTTCTTTACCACCTACTGGACAATTAGTAGTTTCTCTTGGTGGAAAATCTAAAGTTATTATTCTTCCCCACCATTTTTAATTTACGTGTTCTGGGACTTCCAAGCATAAGCATTTCTCCACTCAGCCTTTGATATGCAAGATTTGGGGGCGGGGGAAAGAGACAGCCATCTCCCTGCTAAGTCTGGTCTAGATAGAATACCCTTGACTACAATTATAAGCTAAGGTTAACTCACCATAAGCTGTTTCTTCTTTGTATAGTGAACCTTGGCCTTCTCTTTGCGCTTCTCTTCCAGAGTGGCTGTGATGGCCTGGTACTTCCATCCAACCTCATGGGCAAGGCGGCCCAAATAAGCAAACTGTGTGGAAGAAAAATGCAGCACTTTATAACCAGTCCTGGCCCTGCACCAAATTTTACACCTTCTATTCTTGCTCAGCAAATTTCATTTTCTCAGATGCTTATTAATGCTATTCCTAGTACTCCACACCCACCCAAACCACACAGACAATTCAACCTTTAGCCTATAGCCCTGTTCTTCCTTTACCTGTCTTCCACCTCTGCAGGATCTTAACAGAATGGCTCTCTAAACTAGCATGGCTACCTCAGCAGAATCAGAATTCTTCTTCTCCATCACCTAGACTCGCTAACCCAGAGGACCAACACCCCCCCCCCCCAAATGTCACAGAATGTATTACAAAAGGCAGGTCTCAGATGGTAGTGCATGAAACGTTGTCTCATGGTCTTGAAACTCGAACTATGGTGGAATGTCATCATCACAGACCTATTCAAATCAGTACACTTAACAAATGGAGCAGATATATTATCCCCCCTCCCAGCTAGTAAGGCCAAGATTCCCAATCATCAAAAATCTAACAGTCATGCTGTGGGAGAAAATACCATACTATACTATACCCCTACTATAAGAGCCATGGTGGTGCAGTGGCCAGAACGAAATATTGCAGGCTGACTCTGCCCACAGTCAGGAGTTCGATCCTGACTGGCTCAAGGTTGATTCAGCCTTCCATCCTTCCCAAGTCAGTAAAATGAGGACCCACATTGTTCGGGGGCAATAATGCTGACATTTATAAACCACTAAGACAGTGCTGTAAAGCACTATGAAGCGGTATATAAGAGCTATTATTACTACATTTTCAGGCGGAAAACTTATCTGGATGGATATCATCTTGCTTGATATCATCTAAGCAACTGTGGGGGTCTCCCAGGCTTCAGATCACCTTTTCTTATCTCAATTCTTTTAGCCAGAGAAAAGGAGCTTCTGAAAACATATTTCCACGCTTAAAGTAGGAAGCCAGGGGTCCTCAATTTATAATTTTAATGGCAACAGACTTGAAATCATGCACTAAATCCCTACTGTTAATTCTTAACAATAACAAACATTACCTTGCGTGTGGGTTTGAGACGGACCACTTTCAGAGCAGCAGGGACGACCATTCTCTTGCGCTGCAGGATAAAAATGTCCTGTTAGTAATACTTGCACAATGAAAGCAGCTCCGAGCAACGCTACGGATGCTCAGATCTGCCTCAGCGTTAGGTTTGTTTTCTTCTCACATCTCAAGTCAAACAATGTAGGTAAAAAAGAACATCACTGACAGAGCAGGAAGCCAAGGAGTCAAGATAATTTCTCTTGCACATCAGAAAGGAAATTACCTTATCGTAAGGTGGAGGGATGCCATCAAAAACCTTCAGCCTCTCTAAGGCGGCCTGACCACGTTTGGTTTTGTGAGGGAGCATTCCTAGTGGAACGAGGGGAAACAAAAATGGGAAAAGCATAGAGGGTTAGTGGAGACCCCAAGGAAAAGGTCAGATCTCTTTGAAATAACATCTGCAATGCTGAGCAGAACGAAGGACTCAATGAGATCACCGAGCAAACATAAGCGAAAGTAACCTGGATTAAAAACACTTTACCCCATCCCAAATTCAACAGTCTTTGCTAATCAGATCCTTCAAGGTCTTTTGAACTACAACTGTTTTAACTGTCAGACCACAGGGACACTGATCATAATCTGGAAAGAGTGGGTTAAGGAACGCTAACCTTGCTCAAAATGCACACACAAAAATGCGTATGTGGACATCCACTAAGCACTGAATGACATATTCCGCAATTGCGCGCAGATATTTTGAAAAAGCAATTTATTCTTTGTAAGGGATCACTTCCATTTTCAAGGAGAAACTAACACTCACCTCGAACTGTTCTCCAGAAAATTCGACTGGGGGCACGGAAGTGATACGGGCCACGGGATGGGTTGGTGTTCATCCGCTTGCGGAGGAAAGCAAGGTATTTCACTGTGAGAATAGAAAAAGAGAGAAAAGGGCTTAGACTAGATCAGAAAGATCAATGTGACTGAACCCCATAGATGACACAGCTCATTCATGTGCTTAGTTCCTAAATGGAGGCACCAAATCCCCATACTTACAAACAAAATCATTTACTACAGCTATGAAGAGCTACCTTCAGAATGCAGGAACCTCCCAGGCATAAGAAAGCTTTCAGGTTCTTGTGCAAACGATAGATGTATGGACTCTGGAATCCTTGTCTTACTCGACTTAGACTCTTTATTATTAAACTTATTAATATAGTAATAGGTGCACTTAGGCAACTCCTTTGCAAGCTGCACTGGTTGCCAATTGGCCTCCAGGTAGAATTCAAGATGTTGGTCAGCAATGAAAAAGCCTTCCCTGGCAGAATCACCCGTGGGACAGCTCTCTCTCCAGTTACATCTGCTCATCTTCTTAGATCTTGAACAGAAGGAATGCTCCGGGTCCCCTTGTTAAAATTGTATCAGAAATGTACCTCTCCTGTTGCTGCACCTGGACTGTAGGGTTTGAACCCCTCTTCCCCTAACATCTGCATGGATCAAGCCTGTTGCCATCTAGGAAAGCCCTTTTAAAACATGGCTCTTTCACTAGGGCAGTGATGGCGAACCTTTTAGAGACCAAGTGCCCAAACTTCAACCCAAAACCCACTTATGTATTGCCGGGTGGGTGTGGCTACAGTGGTCATGGCAGATGGGTGGGCATGGCCAGCTCGATGTTGTTCCTGGTGAGGGACGCCTGTGGGGGCCGGGCAGGGTTGGGGGAGATCCAGGGGTCTCTGGCGGGTGGGGAGGTGGGTAGGAGGCTGGTTCTGCGGGGTGAGGCGAGGCAGGGTGGGGGTGCCATGTTGCAGGGCAAGGTGAGGCAGGGGCCGGGGCGGCTGCTGCCTGACACCATCAACCCCCACATACGAAGGCCAGCAAGTGCATGGGTGCTGGGATGCATCCGGCCACGTGGGACCTCAGCAAGTTAGTGGGCGGCTGGTTGAAGAGGACGGTTGCCATCTCCGGGGCATGGCATGCATGCCCACAGAGAGGGCTCTGAGTGCCGCCTCTGGCATGCGTACCATAGGTTCGCCACCACTGCACTAGGGCTTTCCTAAATGGCAACAGGTTTGATCCCTGCAGATGTTAGGGGAAAAGGGGTTCAAACCCTACAGTCCAGGTGCAGCAACAGGAGAGGTACATTTCTGAGGGATTGTTTCTGATGGGATTGTTTCTATGAATGGAATAAATGAATAAATTATCCCTACATTGTGCTCCTCGTCCCAAGCAACCGGGTGGCACAGTGCCTTAAATTCAACATGGAAAAAAGAAGGGAAGAAATGCCGGCAGTTCTCTTTGCTCCCTCAGAGCCTATGCATATCGTATGGATAGTTACAGAGCAAAGAAGGCTGTGAGAATACGCTGGTGGTCTCAGATGGTAGTGCATGTAGAGTTGTCTCATGGCCATGACACTCGAATTAAAGGTGGTTAAGGCATCATCACCGACCACTTCTCAGCCACCATTGTTGATATTTATTGTATCACATTCTTACTTTGTGCCATCCGTTCTTATCTAGTCTTTTCTTTTGTGCAGAGTGGGGAAATGGTTATTTAAAAGCATCCAAATCTTGATGCAATGTACATATGCCAAAGTAACATGTCAAAGCTCCCAAAGAAAGGTTGGAAGAGCAGCCTCCAGTATTAAGGTTTTTTCCCCCCTGTCCACCCCTATGTTTTTCTCAAGCTTCTCTGCAGTGAAAAGACATTAAGAAAATACCAACCTAGCCAGCTTAGACAGCTCAACAGTGCAAGATGTTTAGAATTCTACCACAAAGATGAGCTACGGGCACAATTCTTCCACATGCTGCCCCCTAGCTATGTTACCAAGTATTAATTAAAATGGAAGGAAGGCTCTCTATGCAATGCTTGCCAATATGATTATACTGCATTTTCTGGAAAAACAAATGACCAATAACAACCTCCCAGAAGCTTATTCATTCCTTTTGCTGATGCTCTTTCTCCCTTGGGGGTCTCAGGACCTTTAAATATTTACTCCAAGCCTTTGAAACCGCTACCACTAGGTCTCAAGATTGTAGAGTCTTGCCACTTTTATGCCAAAGTAGAACTAGCTTTAAGGAAAATGATTGTTCTTGATTCTCGGTCATTGTTTTAAAGCAGTGTTTCTCAACCTTGGCAACTTGAAGAGGTATGGACTTCAACTCCCAGAATTCCCCAGCTAGCACAGCTGGCTGGGGAATTCTGGGAGTTGAAGTCCATACCTCAAGTTGCCAAGGTTGAGAAACACTGTTTTAAAGAAACATGTGCCTGAAGATTAGAACTTACCCTAATTGCCAAAGCTAAGTAATCTACTTTCCTAGTTACTGGGTAGCTTGAAAAAATGATCTCCAAATTATTTTGACAGGTTTGGAAGCCTCAGTTTTACTTACATTTGTTGCGGTAGAAGTTGCCAGATATGTTAATCCCTTCACATCGTACAACCACAACTTTGCGCCCTGAAGGAAAAGGAAAGATCAGAGTATGTCTTCTAATATGGAATACAGATTGGACAATAAAGTTTCAAAGAGTGATGCCTAGTATGTTACAAATTGTAATCTTGTATCCTCAGAAGTCTACTACTTCACACTTTCGTTGCTTTTCAATCCACAGATGAATAAACTAGTTCATGTAAGAATGGCTGGAAAAATCTAGCTAAGCTTCAGTGAATTTATTTATTTTTATTAT